CTTTCGATCAAGTCTACTACAAACTCGATCTGTTTAGCCGTTGTTGAGATCGGAAAATCTCGAAAAGGCTCTCGGCTAAATTTCGCGTATAAGAGGCACGGGGTACCTCGCGCAGCGCGCGCGCACTTCGTTTGCGCATATACTTGGCGCGAGGCACTACCGTGCCTCTTGATCTGCGTCACTGAAGATGCCATTACGTTATTGTTATCACAATTATTACATCCTGGTATACGCAATGTAGTGACCGTTTCTTCAATGTATTCTTCTATTGTTCTTTCTTGTTCGCTAAATTCTTCAGTTTCATTCAATAAAAGTTTTTTCCATGCTCTTTTCATCGTTGTGTCTTTAATGCTGGACTTGTCATTGTGTAAAAACAGTCTTTTAAATTTATTTTTTTATGTTGCTCTATTATTTTTTTTCAGTATTGCATTCAAATGTAAACAGAAATTTTTCAAGCAAGTTCTTTCTGTATAGTCGTTTGAAGCACTTATTGCAATTTCTTCACCTTTGATAAGTTCTCGATAACTTTATCTAAAAAATAAAGTATATCTTTTTGTATATCTTTATCCAGAGAATAACTATCGGAAGGTATGAAGAAATCGGGCCTTAATGCAGAGCTGCACAACTGGCATCTCGCCAGTAGCCACGCTTGGCTATAGTGTTTATTCCACTTCTTTCATTCGTAGCGTGGAGGCTTACTTCACTCTCGCCTAAATGTACATGAAAAAATTTTAACCGTAACCGTAAGGTCGTAAGCACTTTAATCAATTACAGACCAGTATTATCTTACATTAGCTGAAATGTTGACCAGCGATTGGTTGATTTGCTATTGATTGATTTACGACCTTGTTAAGACTACGTCTTAACTTTTGCCACGTGCAATGGTCTTATGCATGTACGTAGTAGAGTGGTAGGCTCGCGGTCAGTGAATATCAGTGAATTTCAGTCAGTGAAATATTGCAGCATTAAACTACTTGGATAGTCGGTTTGCTTGAGTTGTGCAGCTGTAAAGGGTCGTCTACAATAGGAGTAGGCAATATAGAGTAAGAACCCAGATAACCAAGACTGAGTGATCATATTTTGCAAAGTCTGCAATAACACATTATGCCAGTACAATGTAGCCAGCATTCAAACATAATCTGTTATTGCAACTAGTATTGACAGAAAAACAGAAAAAAAAAGAATATAAATGTGTCATGCCGTGATGCAAATATTATTGTATCAATCAAGCAGAACTTGCTCAAAAAATGTAGTAGATTTGAAGCATAACGTGCTATTGTCATTTCATTCTTCATTTATTTATATATTTTTGCTGTGTTGTTTTCTTTACATATCGTGCTTACATACTTCACTCACTATGATGACATAGCTGAGTGGAATCTGCTGTAAAGTGCTGATTAAACCTGCGTGCATACTGCCAGGGTTGGGACAGTTACTTCTAAAAAATAACGCGTTTTACCGTTACTTGTTATCCATTGAAAAAAGTAACTCGTTACTGTTACTCGTTAGCGATTGTAAAAAGTAACGCGTTACCGTTCCTTAAAAGTAACGAGTATAGAATCGTTACTTTCCGTTACTAAAACGTGATTACATAAAAGATTATTCGACTTTTTTTACATTTAGAAAGAATATTAGAGAAAAAGGAACTTTATTAATAAATTTAAACTTGTATAAAGCATATTTATAGTTCTATAATTTTAAAAATACATAAAGATATATATTTTTAACATTAAAATATATTAAAAAATTTTAGATACATTTAAGAATTTTCTTTTATCATAAATGTAAACTTAACAATAAAACTTAACAATAAAAACAATGAAGTATGACATATGTGATATAAAT